ACAGTACGATTACGGTCACAGTACAGTACCGTCCGTTTCCCATTCATACGAAATCCGCTCTATTACAAAAAGATAAAGGAACTGTAGTATTACCTCATACTTGCAAACAGGCACGAGTTATCAGCAGGAACTATTCTAGACAAAAACAAATTAAATAATAATAATAACGTTAGCATTTCATCAGCTGAGAAAAATATTGACTTTCTTTCATTCTGGCATTTCCTTGCCGACCAGACAGTACTATTTAGAAGTAAATTATGCTGTTTGTCAAGAGGTTTCAGTAATTTTTATTACAATAATTATGTATAAATTTAAAAAAATGCAAATTTATGTCCTTTATACAAGGCTCAGAAAGTCCTCGCTATACTACATCTATCAGTCATACTCACTTTCGTGACAAAGGGGTGTCACTGTACTCTTGTGTTAGAATTGTGTGACTAAGAACTTTTGGTGCCATTTTATTCACTTCTACAATCAATGTGTCCCCAGACCTGACGCCGAGGGATGACAACTCTGCCGATTTGACTTGACAATTAATTTCTCGAGGAGGGAATCCTGATAAAACTGTAATATATCAAATAAATACAGTGTTGGTACAACTGTACACGGTTTATAATTTGCCAACACTGATGTTAATTATGAAAAGAAATCACAGAAATACAGGGTCAAGTTGCTGTGAATGCCTGGACATTAGTCATGACACACATTACCACCACGTTGGATCAAGATAGCAAAATAATTTTAACTTATCAATACGAGGACTGCATGGCACTATGAGAAACATGATTTAGAAATGTATGGTGCTTAGAAGGAGGTAATTCTGGGAGAAAGACCCTTGGAAATATATTCAGTAAAATTAATTTCCGACCTCGATGGGATAGGAACCAGCGGCTCTTGGATATGTACTACCGATGCTCTACCAGATGAGGCTCTACAGCATCAGACTGGGAGCAGGTCTTGGTGAAACAGATGTTAGGTTGAGTTAATTAGAATGTAAATATACGAATGCGAGGACTGCATGCATGGAACTATGAGAGATATGATTTAGAAATAAAGGAAGGTTGATCCCAGTGAGGTCTCACTATCCCCCCCTGAAAAAAATATTTCAACCCCTCCTGTTGTTAGCCTCAAAGTCCTCCCCCACTCTTTTAGTCAAAATGCATACGTCAACCCCCCTCCCAAACTTTTCACTGACTCAATATTACTTGAAATAAGAAAATTCAACAAGTAATTAATCTAAATTTTTATTTRAAAATTCTCTTACTTCTTTGAGCATGGGGTGGTACATCTGTCAAAAGCCAAATTTTCTCTTGTAATTCTTCAAGTGTTGAGTTYCCCTTGAGTCCTTTTACCACGCTTCGTTTTCCTCCTTTATACTGGCACCTCAGAACCTAGTACCCATATTTTTTTTTGACTCAATGTTATTATTTTATTATGCTATTTCTATATTATTGTGTTAAAATGTGACATTGAAAGCCAATATTCTCGGCTGTTCCACGTTTTTCGGTCGCATTAATGCTGAATGATAAAGTTTTCCGTAAACAGCTGAACAGCAAACTTGCCGTGTTGCAGTGTTTGCAGACTTTAAATAGTAGGTTTGTAAATATGACAGCAATTAGAAGTTGAAACCGTAAGATAWTGTTCCTTTAAGTAATTGAATAACACTGAAAGAAGCCAAAATAAAAGCAATGAAGACAAAAGTTTGGAAAACTTACCAAATCCGCCATTTTGTTATTATTTTTGAAAAGACCGCTGAGAAGACCACAGGTAACCCAAAAAATGTGTAATATTGGAACCGGGAAGGGAGAAAGCAGATTGAAAAAAGTTTCGGAAAAAATAAAAAATTCGAATCGATGCAATAAATACGATTTAAAAACCAACAGCAAAAGGAAAATAAGGAAAGCAACATAAGAAATAAGARGAAATAAACTGGTAATTCATTACCAGTGATAGATTAAGGGTATTATTCAGGGGTGTGGCTAACTAAAAAAAAGCTACTAAATGTTAGCTACGAACCCCAATTACCCCTCTTAATCCTCTCTTGAATACAAAATACAAGCTTGCTCATTCATACAACCATTTGCAACATGCCGCATGTACATTTGATAATCTCTCTGTGCATTGAATATTTGATTAACATGTTTTCGAATATAAGGTACTTCCCTGTTGCAGGGTTTATTCCATAAGGATGCATCTGGCCTAAACTTAATACGAGCCGACGGTGTTCGATGAGGGAGTCCCCCCCCCACCCCACCATGGATTTCAGCCTGGGTACAACCTCCCCTCGAACCCTCCTGACTTCTACTCTTTGGAATAGTTAGACTATAGTCAAAAGAATACCAGAAAGGCACAAGAAATCCCCAGAAATAGTTTATTGATAAAACATTTTTACAAGTCCTGCTTGTTTAAACATTAAAATAATTGATACCAGTAACTAAATACCTTTGAAAATGGTTGTACCAAATACACTCATTCTATGAACAGTTCTAATTCACTGTAGCCTCCATTATGCTTTTTATAAAGCAACAAATTAGCCAATGCCGTCTTCCATGTAAACAACATCAAAATTACAGAAATGTATTACAGGTTAACAGTGCAATTTTACCTGGGCATATACATGGGGTTGCGAACTGTGTGAATAGYCACCCTCCTTCTGGGTGACTCTTGTATCTGATAATTCATAGATCAGAAATAKTAAACTAGTTTTAACAACAATTTTAATTGTCAATTTTTAATCATTAAAATGAAATTCCAACATCTATGAAGTGGAATTTGACAAGGGTGGAAGCATGGCAACAATTTCAAGAAAARATAGTTTTTTCTTGCTGTAAAAATCAAAGTTCACTTCCTGACATCCTGGATCTGCCCCTGTCTTACTGTTTTCTTTAAAATACTTCTAAAATGTACTACTGGTTTTTAATTTGTATACTAGATTGTGCAATTAAAATTTCAAACTTTGTCATATTGTGATTATATTGTTCAAGTGATGAACAGATTCTGTTTATTCATTAATATATTTAAGAGCAAGAAACTCCTCTTTGCGATTAAAATACTCATTGAATCTGATTATTCCATACCTGAAAATATAAAAACAGTCAGTCGTATTGACACAAACTTCATCACAAAAACATTTTCTTACATTTAGTAGTGGTTGGAGTGGCTAGCTCACAGGTAGCCTCCTTTAGCAGCTGCCCCTGTGACGTCATGCAATGCTTCTCCGTGGGGAAAAAACGTTGCGTGACAACACAGGGGTGGCTGCTAAAGGAGGCTAGCCCACAGGCTTCCCAATTAATCTTCAAAGAATTTCTTTTTTAGATTTTTTTTCTAATTGCATTATCTAGTAGTTGTAGAAAATGTGAAGAAAAGAAAGGATGATGCTTATCATCATCAGCGCACGCTCAACGGTTGTCTTGTCTGGATGCAAAGGCACCGCTACCTTCCAAGATGGTGCAGAGAACAATGAAGAAGACTATTGATAATTGCCCTATTTCATTATGACGTCACAGTATGTTTATATCGGAAAACGATGCTCAAAAACAGTGGAAATTTGGACCCATTTATTTTGTATACTAAAGTAGAACTTCAATGAATCATGTTTTGATATATATCATCTATTTAAATGATTGCTCATGTACAATTTATTTGATATGCAGTCACTCTGATCCCCTCTGGCGACCATAATCCTTTGCGTTGAAACAATAGAATGTTTTGATGTGACGTCATAATGAACTAGGTAAATTTCATTAATTTCATTTCCTTGACTGACTGGAAACAAAACTTAATGTCAATACTTACCCTAAAAAGTCAAAGTCAATGTCAGAGAAATGAGCTTGTAGTAGTGCCCAGACTCCCCAGAAAAAGTGAGCAGCCTGTTGAAAGGATTTCAATTCAAATACAATGTCAATCAACAAAAACAATGAAAGTAACGAAAACAAACATTTAAGAAAACAAGCACAAAAGAAAACAACAGGTTATGACATCATGTTATGACATCATGTTATGACATCATGTTATGACATCATGTTATGACATCATGTTATGACATCATGTTATGACATCATGTTATGACATCATGTTATACTGAGAATAGTCTTCTTCACAGTTCCCTGTGTCATCTTGAAAGGTAGCTGTGCCTTTGCATTGAAGAGGCGACAGTTGAGCATGCAATGATAGAAACCTTCTTTCACACCAACAGACAATTATTCACAGGTATCTATACACGTTTACGACATAAACCGGAAGTAACTTAGGAATTGAAAAATATTCTTTTTGAATTTAACAAGAAGCAAGAAAATGTACTTTTCCTACAGACAAGGTATTTTTCTTGAATCTAGGTGAATGGAATCTCTAGATATTTGCCATCTAAACTCCTTCAGGGCCCTTAGGCCTCGTTTCCATTCCTTTGTTTTCTATTGTTTTCAATTCACTTCCGGCTTACGTCGTAAGCATCTATCATAACACGCTCAACGGTCGTCTCGCTTCAATGCAAAGGCACGGCTACCTTTCAAGATGGCGCATGTAAATGTGAAGGAGACTATTTCTGTAATGACCCCCTACACCAAATTCTGGATATTCTTCTAGGAGGTATACTTTAATAGCAAAAAGAACAATGCCTAGCCTTTGGGAGCTTTACAAATTCACATACCAATGCATGGTGATTGGCTTGGACATACAGCTTTTCTATCTCATCTTTAGTGGGAGATGGATTAACTTCACCTATAAAACAAACAACACTTGTAAGTCTACTTAAAAATTCATGATATTTTATATAGAGTTTATTTTATTTCTATATTCTACATGTACCTACATCCTAGACATTTTACGTGGGACATTGCAATGTGTAACTGTAACAAAGTTACAATTTCACGACATGACATCTGTTTGGCAAAATATCATGCCCCCCAAGACCCTGTTCAATGWACAATGTTGTGTGCCTAAATTTTCATTTGGGAGTGTAGGACAGTACAGGGCTATGCCGTCAGTAGAAAACAAACAAGATGTGTTTAAGTCGTGTAACGATTTATTGTATACTGCCCATGATTGTAGCAAATATTGCACATTTTAGAGTGGTATGTCCAGCTCTTATCGACATACGTTTGACATCCAGAAATTAAATGTTTCAAACTCAAATTGGATTCAAGAGCCAAGTGAGTGCATTTATTTCAAAGTTTTGAACATTCTATAATTTCAAGAGTGTCAATAAAAGGGCATGAAACAAAAAAACGCTGATATTTTTTGGAGTATCCTAGTACTAGTACAAAAATATTGGTGATGATATCCCATAGTTTCTGATATTTTATTATACTTGAAATACAAGTCAATAAGATCATAATTTCTGCATATCGCTGTATCATATTTTATACCATCTGAAATGTGAACTAACGGATATACAATATTGGTGAGAGAAGGTGGGGTGAGATGGCATAGTGGGGGCAAGATATTAATGGGCCGAGATGACCGTAATTCTTTATATCATTATAATTATCCAAATACCTCTAAGTTCAGCAGCTTTCCTTAGATAGCTAGTTAAAAACTTCACTTGTTGCTCCTTCTTTGGATAAAGACTATAATCTACCTCATCAACACCTGAAAGACATTGTAAAGGATGCTAAATTCATTAACAATTAATAGCAATCTCGTACCCATCGCCCTTATCCCCCTTACTGTGCAAACTCAACAAAAACAGTGGCTCGAGAATACACAACAATTTCTCACTCTCTGATTGGCTCACATAAAATAAACATACTTGCTGCTGGAAGTGAAAATATCACCAAAAAACTCTCATTATTGACAAATCATTCGGACAAATCTTTTGCTACCTCGTCTTAAATTGTTCCTTTAAAAGTATTTTCAAACGTAAACACAATGGAAAATCATTGTTCTGATTTGCATATGACTTTAACTGCAATTTTCTCTTTGAAA